AAACAAGTAGTAATTACTACATGAGGTGATGGAGGTGTTAGCTAAAGCTATGGTGTTAATGATTTTGTGAAATATAAAGTGTATCAAATCAACACACTGCACACCTTAAAGTTACACAATGTTATATGTCAATTATATCTCAATAAAGCTTGAGAAAAAGAGAAATATACTACTTTAGAAATAGTACTATAATAGTACTTCTGAAAAGCATTAACCCTTGTATGTAATATTTTCTCCTATTGAGATTGTTATTTTATGGTGAACTTTGCTCAGATTGCCATTTAGCAATTTATTTGTAAAAGCATCTTATTTTAGCTAATTTTTAATGGAATGATATCAACTTAATTCTCTTGTTTTATTGAAAATGCTCTGGCTCCTCTCCTGTCCCCTAACAATATTAAGTTTGTTAGTAGCCTAACCTTGGTTACTTCTAGATTATGCTGTGCACTCTAATGAAAATGTTAAACCACTCTCATATTTGAGTAGTGTTTGTGTATCTAATTTATTATATGTAATATGTAGTATATTCCTCCAAAGTCTATCCAGTTAGCAAAACAGGCAAAATTTTGAATTATTAAAGCTGAATAAAATATTCTTTCTGTTGTGAAAAACGTACCAGAACAAGACTCCAATTTGCTGAGAACTACGAGATTCGTATTTAGTAAGATGGTATATACATTCCTTTAGATGCACACTTACCTTATACACTTCTTTCATCATTTCTAGAAGAGGTTTCAGATTGCAGTTATTCTGAGGTGTTTCAACCGAATAAATCATTTGAGCAATGATGGCTGATTTAAGCATCTGGACCAGTGTGTTGAGAGAAGACTCTTGCAAAGATGCCCAACACTGCTCTGAGGGATGCAAAATCAGCCATGATAAATATATACTCCTCTGCCCCCCTAAAAAATACTCCCTCAGTTTCTACTGGGTTCTTTAATGTGAGAAATAGATATTTTCCATTTCTGATTACAAAACCCATAGAATATGTTTTCTAAGGATATCATCCTGGACAACATTTATTACAGAAAAAATATTTTCCCTGATTAAGTATCATTGGAATTAAAAGCTCAAATTCGGGATTCTAAAGAAATGTGTTGATAGTTCATATTTATGCTTGGTTACTTGATTGATTTCATGATTGTCAAACTGAAAGTTCTATAGGTTATTTATAAAGTCTGAGAACATACATAGGTGAATACATATACACATACAATGTCATCAAGGATATTTCCAATCTGTAAAAAATAATATCTATGTCTTCAGACTTCATACACACCTGGTATATACGGATATATTTTTATATAAAATTATATCAATAGCAATATTTTAATATTACTGAGGTTACAGTCTAGATTATTGTACCTTTACAGGACAATTCTCAGAAAATAAACCTATCAAACATTATAATATATTATCAAGCTAATGCCATTAAAACAGTATGACCCAAATGCATGAAAAGCAGATCAATGTAGCACAATTCCCTAAATGGATCCAACTGCACATGAGAGGTTAGATATGATAAAGGTGGCATTGCATATTAATGGCAATGAAACAGATCATTCAATAAATGTCTGGGGACAAGTGGAAACTGATCCAGAAAAGAATTTAATCAAGATAAACTCCACATGGATCAAAGATTTAAACATAAAAATGAAACAATAAAAACTCTAGTTGGAGCATGGGAATGTTTTTGTTTCTTTGTTTCCGAGTGAGATACACTATTTGAAGTATGACCCAAACTAAGAAACCATAAAGGAAAACGCTAATATAGTAGGCTTCATAAACATGTTAAAAATAATCATGCATGGCAAAAATACCACAAAGTAAAAACAATTTTAATAACCTAAAGAAAAAATTTGTAACTCATATTGTTGATAAAGGATTAAGCTGCCATAATAGTTTGAAACCTCCTAAATAAAAACTAACAACAGATAGAAAAATGGGTAAGAGAGAAGAACTGCTAGTTCCCAGATATGATATACAAATGAACTGAGATAGAAGAAAACCAGCACCCCCTAGCCCAGCGGTTCTGAACATGTGGGTCGCGACCCCTTTGGGGGTCGAACGACCCTTTCACAGGGGTCGCCTAAGACCATTGAAAAACATATCTATAATTACATATTGTTTTTGTGATTAATCACTATGCTTTAATTATGTTCAATTTGTAACAATGAAAATACATCCTGCATATCAGATATTTACATTAGGATTCATAACAGTAGCAAAATTACAGTTATGAAGTAGCAATGAAAATAATTTTATGGTTGGGGGTCACCACAACATGAGGAACTGTATTAAAGGGTTGCGGCATTAGGAAGGTTGAGAACCACTGCCCTAGCCTGTTTGGCTCAGTGGATAGAGTGTCTGCCTGAGGACTGAAGGGTCCTGGGTTCGGTTCCGGTCAAGGGCACATATTTCTGTTGCAGACTCGATCTCCAGTCCCAGTTGGGGCACTTGCAGGAGGCAACCAATGTGTCTCTATTACATTGATGTTTCTCTCTGTCTCTCACCCTCCCTTCCATTATCTCTAAAAGTCAATGGGAAAATATCCTCAGGTGAGGATTAATAAATCAAACAAACAAAGAAGAAAACCAGCACAACCTCATTCTTAATGAGAAAATTAAATTAAGAGAGTATTTTTTTCAGAATGGGAAAGACCAAAAGTTTGATAACACTGTAGAAAAATGAATTCATTGGCTGCTGTGAAGGGTAAACATACATCCTCTGTCCTGGTGGGTACTTTGCCCAGCTCTAGGGGTGCATTTTACTTAGACTACAGTGTGGATGGTGGCCACTTGAAGTTGGGTTACCTGGTGGCCCAGACTTCTGTGGAAGGTCATTTGGCAAAATCTCTCAAAATTTAAAATGCATGTACAGTTAGACCCATTAATTTTGCTTTCTGGAATTTTCCCTGACTGTGTACATTTACAAATGTACAAAGAAATGCATGTTAGCACTGTTATGATAGCAAAAATTTAGAAACAAGTATTCATAGTATATCCACCCAATACAATCTATTCAGACATTACACAGAATAAGGCAGCTCTACAGATTCAACAGCAGAATGCTCTCCATAATATACTGTTAAATGGGGAAAAACAAGTTGCCAAAGTATGTGAGTGGTATGCTACCACTAAAAAATGCATTTCTATATGTTTTTATGTATAATATCTTTCAAAGTTTACACAGGAAACTATATTAAGTAATTGCTTTCTGAGAGGGGAACTAAGTGGCTTATATTTCACTGTACATATCCTTTGTTCCTTTTAAGTTTTGGACCTTGAACACAAGCTTAAAATTGTAAAAAGACATCCTATTGTAGTGAATAAAATAAACAAGAACACAAAGCTTAACATTTCTTTTTCATCCCCTCTGGTTAAGATGTCTAAAGCACGAGCAAAAAATTTCAAAGCGGCTTTATTGTGACTGGATCCTCTACGGTTACTAAACTCTGATGTCAAAGCCATGTCCAAGTCTAAGAATTCTACATGCCTTGCACGGTATAACAGTAATGATTAGAATTGCTTTAGGTTTATCTTTCCAATAATTCTCATATCATGTACCCAAGTACTTGTATATTTTGAAATCTATTCAAAATTTGCTACAACTTCTACCTCAGACAGTGACTCTATTGAGAGTTCAAATAAAGTAACATGAAAGGAATCAAACTTACTCAGGACTCGTAAAGATCGGTCACTCATTTTACAAACAGCCTGTGCAAAGGGAACCACCAGACTTTCCGAGTTCCTAGGATCGTGCATCACAGGACATTGTGGGAGCAGAAGGAAAACTGACAACGCTTCTTGGTGTGGAGAACGGCATGGAAGAGCTCCGAGCAGATGGTCCCTGAGACATGTAGTTATCTGCAGTTGAAACGGGATCAGAGAAAGAAAGGCCCGGGATAAGTTTTGGGACCAGGGGTTTCATTCCTCCACTTTCCAACTAGAATAATCATTTAGTTTTCCTGAAAGCTGTTGTTCATCACTCCTTGCATCCCAAATGCCCCTGAAGTAGTATGTGCGAGCCATCCTTCCGATTTTATATTGGGGTGCATAAGGAAATAAAAGTGGATCACATGTGCACGTAGGTGCTGAGTGACTTGTGGAGGTGGTTCAATTAGAAAGTGACAGAGCAGGGATCCATACCCAGACCTGTCTGGGCTAAAATCTGCCTGGGCAGAGAAAATGCCATGTGTTCCCCTCTCCAGTCCTGTTGCAGCTTCCTCCTGGGTTCACCGGAAGATGGTATTTTCTAGCCGCCCCCGCAGTTAGTGGGGCCATGTGACTGAGTTCTGCTAATGCCACGTGAGTGAAGGTGATGTACGACACTTCAAGGCATGGCCCCGAGAAACCTCTCACATGACCTTACATACTCTTTCCTAATCTGCCAACCAAACACAGAAGATCTACTGGAGGGTTTCATGGCCCCAGAACCCAGACAGAAGGAGCCTGCGCCACTCTTGAATTCAACTGTGCAGAGGTTGGAAGGGCAGCAGACTATGCCACCCCAGAATATGACACTCCTGCATGAGGTTCATTTTAAATGTGTGTGTGTATGTGTGTGTGTGTGTGTGTGTGTATTTAATTTATTTCAGGGAGGAAGGGAGAGGGAGCGAGATATAGGAACATCAATGGTGAGAGAGAATCATTGATTGGCTGCCTCCTGCACACCCCCCACTGGAGATCGAGCCCGAAACCTGGGCATGTGCCCTGGCCGGGAATTGAACTGTAGCCTCCTGATTCATAGATCGATACTCAAGCACTGAGCCATGCTGGCCAGGCTTGAGGATCATTTTGAGCTGAAGGCAAGTAAGAAAAAACAGACTAGAACAAGCTTTCTGGCTTCCCCTCTATTTACCTGAAAACTGAATATAAATTCCTTTTGTGAAGGTGTCCTCTTATCCCCAACTTCCTGTACCAGGAAGAGGATAACCACCTTACAGCAGAGATGAGCTGGCACTGAGAAAGTCCACACAAACAAATCTTACTAACTAGCCCTTTCCTACCATTCATTTCCCCATATATTTGCCTTCCCACAATTTGGCACCTCTAGAAGCTCAAAGTCCTTTTCCCTTGTCTGGTCAGTTCTCTACAAAATGATTGTACTTTACTAAGATGCTATATAAGCCCAAGTTCTAACCACCCCTTCAAATTTCTTATCCCTGAGTATATATATGAAGGATGCACCCGTGAATAAACTTCGGTTTGTTTTTCACCTATTAACCTGTCTTTTCTCAGTCTATTTTGCAGGGTCTCACCCAATGAAACTAAGATGGATAGATGGGAAAAAAATTTCCCTCTAAGGTGCCTCATATTTTCAATCCTCGTGGAACTATTTTGTGGAAAATAAATCTTCATTGTATTATGCCACTGAAGTTTAGAAGTTGTTTGTGACAACAGCTAGCATTATTATACTATCTAATAGATCTTAGATACTCTTAACTATAGTGTCTGCCTCTACATGATGTAAGGGTTAAGTAAGATGATATATGCAACAATAAACTGTAAAGTACTATATTATTATTATTATTATTATTATTATTATTATTACTACTACATCAGTGTTCTTACAATTAGTTTTCTCAGGATCAGGGATGAATCAGTAGCAGATTGACCTCAACTAGATTTGAGATTCATCTCAAGAAATAGAGACCAGTCTTTTCGGTCTCTTAGTCCAGGATTATCCTGCTTCCTAAACATGATAGAGGTTATTTACTTCTCAAGTAATGGTTTTCTCATATTGAAAATAAAAATATTGTTACCCTGGTTGGTCAGTTGGAGCGTCATTCTGTACACCAAAAGTGGCAGATTCGATTCCTGGTCAGGGCACATACCTGAAGTTGTGACTTTGATCCCCTTTTGGTGCATGTGTGGGAGGCAACTGATTGATGTTTCTCTCTCTCCCTTCCTCTCTCTAAAAATCAATAAAAATATGTTTTAAATAAAATTATAATCAATTAAGAAAGAAAATTAAAGCATTGTCATCATCTACTGTATGTTTAAGTGCTCAAAGAGGAAGTAAGAGCCAGCGCTTAATACAGCATCTGGAATACAACAACCACAAAATGAACACTGTCCCCTCTCTCCATCAGCTTCCCCTCACTGAACTCCCAACAAAAACTGCAATCATAATTGTTCCTGTAAGGCAGTGGTTCTCAACCTTCCTAATGCCGCGACCCTTTAATACAGTTCCTCAGGTTGTGGTGACCCCCAATTTCATTGTTACAAATTGAACATAATTAAAGCATAGTGATTAATCACAAAAACAATATGTAACTATATATGTGTTTTCCGATGGTCTTAGGCAACCCCTGTGAAAGGGTCGTTCGACCTCCAAAGGGGTCTCGACCCACAGGGTGAGAACCGCTGCTGTGGAAATTCTATTGCTCTTTTTCTCAAGTAAACATTGACTTTTACTGATACCGTTATAATTTAGCCCAGTTATTAATAACTGGAAAGGAGCAAAGAGAAGATCAAAGGTTAGCGACTTGCCTTTTGTACAGCTTTGCCAGGAAGCTGTGGTTTAACCCTCCCCAGGAAGCCACTGGTTTGTCCCCACTGGGGGAATGGACTGGACAGGGGGAGAACAGACACATGCCCAGTGAGGTCTGGGTGAAATAGGGAAGGTACTTGTCTGTCAGTCATACCTGGGAACAGGTCATTGGCCAGAGTAGGCGTGGCCACTGCAAGAGCAGGAAGATGTGAGGTACTTAACCGCTTAAACAAAGGAGTTCACTCTCTTGTTGCTCTTGTCTCTCTTTTGCTCTTGGGGCTCTTGTTGCAGGGGGCGCACCCTCGGCTCCCTTGCCCTCGCCCACAGGGCACACAGCCATGTGGACCCCACACACAATGGACTAATGGAATGCAGCAAGCCTACTGCTGTCCCAGACGCAGCTTCACCATCAGATGGAACTTTGGACTCTGGCTTTGCTTCTAGCTCTGCCAAAGCCCCAGGTGCATATCTTTCAGGACTGGATTAAGGGAAGTGGGACTTTGCAAACCCAAGGATGTAATTCATGCAAATAAAAATCACTTATCCTCCTGTGTGAGTCTCAGAAAATTCTTTTTCTCGAGATATGGTAAGGACCCGACCCCCGGCACCCAGTGGGGAAGAGGATCTACCACTTTCACCGATAACATTACCATGAAAGAAATCCACTGCTTTTGTGTTAACTTCTCAAAGGTATCTTTTGCCATTTGTAGGTCCACATCAATGGAATTCATTTCTCCAGATTCTCTTTGGATACAAGAAATGCACAAACACGCATAAACAAATGGAAAGGAACATTTCTAAATTTCATATATCATTATTTAGTTTTATTTTAGTACATATCAAGTATAAACTTTTTTTCTTAAAGCTTGCCGCCTTTCAAAATAATTCATTTCCTTGGCATAAAAAAAAACCCCCATGAAATTTATGTTCTCCTAAAAGAGGGTACGTAACAATTTACTATTGCTAGAGTAGCTACAAATTTGGGCTACAGTAACAGCAACATTTTACATGCTGGGTCTGAGAACTGATAGCATTTACCCCCACTCAGCCAGCATTCAGAGAACTGAAAATACATATTCCTCCTGTCCCCCACCCCACATACACGTGAACACATACGCAATCCTTACCATCTACAGTTACATTACTTTGGGATTCCACTGTTTCATTAGCATGATTTTACTACTCCTAGAGACACCTGCCCAAGCAAATGGCTTGATTATTCATTATAGGAATTTCCTGAAAAGACCCATGAACTCTCCCATGGAAAGCATCAACGGATAGTTTATGCCAAGTTCTTTGAACCTCTTGCCTCAAAATCCTTGCCCTGCAGTTTCCATCCATCCAAGATCCTTGTATCTTTTCCCAACATAACCAAGCCCCCTTTCCACACTGAAAAACTTGCCTTAAACCAAACTGCCAATTCTTAATAAATTCCAACCTGGCTTTCCCCCTCAGAAGTACTATCAAAGTCTGCTGGAGGCAAAGAACAACAAGTAGTTAACATATAAATGCGAGAAGTCCCTCAGAAGGCTGATGAACATCAGAAGGCTGATGGATGTTGATATTCAGCGGCTGAGAATAATCAGCATTGTATTACCCTACTGCTGGCTGAATGGCTGAAGGCAATCCCCTAACCTGATAATCCTTTATTGTTTACCAAACTTTACCATTGATGTCTGTTTGCTTTGCTAAAGGGCAAATGTATATTCTAGTAAATAAAAAGCTATGGGTCCGGAGATTCAGAGAGCCATTCCACTAGAGAAGGACCTCCACCTGGTTCCCCCAATGCCTTCCAAATTTATATTTCTTGTCTAGTATATCCATTTGTGCATGACCCCTTCTCCATATTCTGAATCCTTGCTGCAAAAGATTGCGGCTAAAGCCCTGTAAAGGTGTCCTGCCTCCCTGGGTTGTGTTGGTGATATTTGAGGAGCATGCATTCTGCCAAAGAGTTTGTCTTTATGTTCTATCAATAAATACTTTATGCTTGTTGGATTAACAAATCAATAGTAACCAAAGGGCTAAAATATCATGCAAGTATTAAATCTAAGTATTGTAAAGTATATTCTTTTCAGCCTTTGACATCTTTATTTATTTATTTTTTAAAACATATTTTTATTGATTTTGGAGAGGAAGGGAGAGGGAGAGATAGAAACATCAATGAGAATCATTGATTGGCTGCCTCCTGCACACCCCCTACTGGGGATTGAGCCTGCAACTCCGGCATGTGCCCTTGACTGGAATCGAACCAGGGGCCCTTGAGTCCACAGACCAACACTCTATTCACTGAGCCAAACCGGCTAGGGCCAGCCTTTGACATCTTAAGACAAAACCTTGAGGTTCATCACTCCTGGGAGATTACATTTCCACTTTAAAAAATTATATATATATAGCTTTGTGCAGTGGCAGTATCGTAGCCAATGAGGTTTATCTGAGGTGTGATTATTGCTAATTGAAAAAAAAAATTATATATAGCCCTAGTCAGTTTCGCTCAGTGGATAGAGCGTTGGCCCACGGATTGAAGAGTTCCAGGTTAGATTTTGGTCAAGAGCACATACTTCTGGTTCAGGCTCGATCCCTGGCTCTGGTCAGGCTTGTGTGGGAGGCAACCAATCGATGTGTCTCTCTCAGATGTGTCTCTCTCACATTGATGTTTCTTTCTCTCTGTCTCTCCTCCTTCCCTTCCACTCTCTCTAAAAATCAATGGAAAAACATCCTCGGGTGAGGATTAACAACAACAACAATAACAAAAAAAAAATTATACACACACACACACATATATACTAGAGGCCTGGTGCACGAAAATCGAGCACGGGTAGGGTCCCTAGGCCTGGCCAGCAATCAGGGCTGATCAGGGCCAAACAAAAGAGGAAATACTTCCCAACTGATTTTATGAATTCATGATTACCAAAGGCATCACAAGGAAAAACAAAACAAAACATAAACTACTCCTTTGTTTATGATAGGTCGAAATGGTCTGAATGTCCTGCATACAGACATTTTTTTTTATTCTAAACATTTAAAGTACAGGAGTGTACATATTTTTTAGAGTAGGCTTTATTGAGCTTTTTAATTTTATTTCCAAGGTTATAAGTGTATATAAAATTCACGCACTGATTTTAGAACCTAATTATACCCAACACCTCTACAAACATGAGATGTCCCTCCACTATTGTTTAGGCCCACAGGGAAATCTAAGTAAAGATGATGAAACATATAAGGCAAGCAAATTTATGTTAAAAAAATCATTTTTATGTTGAAATGCAAGGTATGTGTTGATAGCAAAGCCCTGGGAAGCTTCATTAGATTACTGTGCACATCCTGAAAAGGGGGTGGGTAGTACTAAATAACTGTTTGAAGAGTCAATGTTCAAGTGACCTTAAAAGCCAGGACATTGGGGAAATTTATCTATTACCGTATTAGCAGAATATGTATAGATAGAGTGTTAAAATTGACTCCAGGGTCCTTATAAGTTCTACTTCCCAATATTCTGTAATGTCTCCTCCCACCTAAAAAAATATTAAGTCTAAGTATAAGCCTTAAATTCCTGGCCCTTGACTTCTTCCCTTTCAGAATATTTATTGATCATAATTTCCTACCCTTCAACCTTGGCTCATTACTTTGTTCACTTGTACCTGCCCTCCCTTTTCATCTCTAAATACTCTTTCTTGAGGACAACTTTAATCCCTGCCCCTAACTCCCAAGAGCTAATGATCCCCTGAAATACCACAGAATTTAATGACTGTAGTACTCATTTGGTACATAGATACTACCCTGACCTGTGGGCATATGCTTTTGTAGATTTTTGTCTCCCAAATGAGACTATCATGGCCTATCTTTTTCCCCCATGACATCTAGTATACTATTATAATGCTTAATAACACATACCAAACACCTACCAAGTGCCAAACTTTATGCTAGGCTCTGAGAAACTAAAGATGATTAAGATACAATCCAAACGCTTGAGAAATGTTTGGTATAATAAATATTTTTCTGAGTGCAGAGATAGCCTGAAAATAGTTTTCTCTTCAAAAAATTAAGGTCACTGAAAGCTTCCTGTGGCAATAATTTTTTCCTTTTCTATCCTGATAAACACTAAAATAACTAATTATAGATTACTGATGTGTTACAGAAGATTTATATTTTTCAACTAGGTTGTGCTTGAAGCTGTGACCTGGTTTTATGAGAAATCCAGATGCTACAGAGTAAACTTAATTAGCGAAAGGCTTTTGCAAATATTGCCTCAGGTTGCAGCAATTGTAACCAGTTTAATAATTGTTTTAGTCTAGTGACATCTAGTGGCAAAAGTGGTAAAAATAGCACTGCTGTAAATTAAACTACATTAAAGGGAGGCCATCTTATAGGGAAAAAAGGCAAACTATGAACAAACTATGATATTTATTAGCATTAAATAATGTTTCAATCTCTCTTTGGCCTATATAACTGTTAACTCCTCTCAGTAGGATTTATCATTTGTTTCCTTGTAGCTGGTACATATTAATCTTGATATAACATAAGATTTACTGAAATAAAAGATACTAATATTTTAATTATAAGTTAGAGAAAAGCTCTCACTTAGAAAGACCGAATGAAGAACAAAGCTATCCCCAACGGTGATATGCCTGCTCCAACAATCTTGCAATTCAAAACTGCATTGTTGTTTACGTGATTTGCTTACTGACACATATATTAATAAATGCTTAGAAACTTTTGTCAATGATTTTAATCAGCTCTTATGAGGCAAATAATTATATATCAAAACTCATTTTTTACAATGTCACTTTGCATTTCATTAGCTTTCTGTGAAACTGGATTTTGATAGAAACATTTTGTTAATTTTATTTTTTCAATCACCATTTATCCCTTCCATGGCCTCTTCCACTTCCACTCACCCCCACCCCAACCCCCACCCCCTGCAATCACAACACTGTTGTCCATGTCCATGAGTTCCCTCTCTGGATGAATGGAACAGAATGACTGATTTCAGAGGGCAGAGGGGTGGAGGGAATGAGAAGCATTTAATAAAAGAACATATACGCATATATGCATAGCCCATGGACACAGACAATAGTGTGAGGAAAGGCCTGGGGTGGGGTGGGGGCTGGGTGGAGGGGGGCAAAGGAGTGGAAAATAGGGGACATCGGTAATACTGTCAACAATAAATTTAAAAAAAAAGAACTGAACAAAAAATATTTTTAGTGTGGAAGAGACTAGAGTTAGGGAAGAAAGAAGATACACTGTATGGCAGAGTCCCTCACTTTCAGCCTGGAAGGACAGCAAGAAGAGGAAAGTGAATGGGAGGAACAGCAGAGAGAAGCAGTGTCCTGATTTCTCTTCTCCCACCTTTGTCCAGGATGCATAGAGATGAACAGGAATGCTTTTCTGAGCTCTAGGAATATACTGCCTCATGAGCTGCCAGTGGGAAGCCATGCCAGTTAACTGCCCTGGGCTGCTCTGGTGCCCAGGTGAAGTTGTTGGAGTGGCTGAGAAAGTAGCTGGGTTAAGAACCAATGGGCCAGGGGATTGTCAAGGGCGGAAAAAAAAAAGGAGACATATGTAATACTCTTTGTAATACTTTAAGCAATAAAACAATTAAAAAAATAAATAAAAATAAAAACTGTCAAGAGTAAAAAAAACAAACAAAAAACAAAAACAACAACAAAAAAAGAACCAATGGGACAATAGTACAAAATAATGTTGAATGTAAACTGTAATTGAAAAAATTAAAAAGAAAAAATGAACCAATGGAACAACTGAGTTGTGTAGGGGCAAGGAATAGCTGCAGCAGGGGTTAAGCAAGCACCACCTACTGGCCAGGAGGGGGTTAGAAGATGTGTACACCCAGTATCTTCTGAACCATGAGCCAACTTGAGGCCAACGCAACAAGGGGAGGACTGGGACCTGACCCAGGAAAGGACTGGAATGAGTTATATTGGCTGTAAATAGACCCCAGGGCACTCACGTCCATCGAAAGCAGAGGGCAGCCTAAGGGTCCCTTCATGTTGCTATGGCCCCTTCACCTCCCTTTGTATACTGTTTAATTAAACAAGAAAGCCATTGGACTGTGGTGGCTCTAATGGCATGGAGGCCTACATAAAGAAACAAAATCTAAGCCTGTAAATGCCTCAAAGTTATGGAATCAAAACCTAAGGACAAGCAGTCACAAACAGCCTAGGCTTAAAGCTGTAGCCAATCAAATAGTTTTTTTCTTTGCTTCTGCACTTTCTCTATGTCAGTCTTTCCCCTGGCTCCCTGTTTGCAGAGTGCTCTTAACCACCTCCTGTTTGGCACTACCCCATTTGAATCAATATTTGTTCAAGTAAACTCTTACGATGTTTAAAATGCCTAGGTTATCTTTTCATGGTTCTTAGTCACAGTATTGCTGAGCATAGAAGGATGGGAAAAAATAGAAGACCAAATATTGAGTATGTTACAAAGGAATTGTTTAAACTACTAGGTCAGACCAAGTGTCAAACCAAATATGAAGTTAGATTTCCCTCTGCAATAGACTAGTTAAAGATAAATAGGATCTGTTTTCCTTACTGATCCCACCACAATAAGAACTGCCAAGTACAGCCTTGGCCTCTGAGAACAAAGGCAATGAGATAATACTCATGGAAACAAAGATCCAGAAAAAAACACCATTCCTCCCAGTCAGAGAACAGTGGAGGGCAGGGTCGAGGAAGTAAATAGAAATTACAACTTAATAGTGGTCTAATAGAAAATTACTTTACAAAATGGAAGAATTCTGTAACAACCCATGGAGTTTTCTATGTTGGACTTTTTGTTCATAGATAACAAAATTCACAAATTGAAATGACTGACTTGAAAGACTTCATTTAAAAAATTCCCCACTGGTTTAAATGAAGGTAAATCTCATGTAAATATTACCTTTTCTTTAAAAAACTTGCAGTCAGACAAGCAGGAGATGAAAATATCATTCTAATTTCACTGTAAAAGCAATAACATAAGGGTTAAGTCATAACATACAGAAAAGCATGCCTCCTCGTATCTCATGTCTGAATATATAATTGATGATGTGGAATCATTTTTAACGAAAATAACGATTCTTCTAAGAGTCCTCCAAATGCTGGTTATGCTTTGTGCATGTGACTACTACAACTTATCAACAGCCTTCATAGCTGATTTGATCAAGTAATCTAGAGTTAAATAAATCATTCCTTCTGAACACTAACTATGGAACTCCAGAGAATAAACTATCTATCTATCTATCTATCTATCTATCTATCTATCTATCTATCTATCTATCCATCTATCTATACTAATAAAAGGGTAATATGCTAATTAGACCGGGAGACCTTCCGGATGTCCTTCCAGACAAAGCCATGGTGGCAGGGCCGAGGCAGCAGAGGTGGTTAGGGGCAATCAGACCAGGAGGGGAGGGCAGTTGGAGGTGATCAGTCTGGTGGGAGGGGGGCCAGTTGGGGGCGAGCAGGCTGGCAGGAGAGAACAGTTGGGGGCAAACAGGCCGGCAGTGGGGGGCAGTTGGGAGCAATCAGGCTGGCAGGAGGAGCAGTTGGT